CCCACTTCCCGTTAATTAGCATTTCTTCCCAACCACTAGTGTAGGTGACACATTCACTAAGTCAATTACAGCCACAAAGTACATCGATTCTCCCTAAAATGACTTAAACAGAAGACAACTATGGAATCATAAACATATGTAGCCCACACACACATACACTGGCTGGAATACTGTTACCACTCTCAAGACACAAGGAAAATATGAAGAGAAGTTCAATTGGGTGGGTGGTCGATCATCCACCTTTTGATCACATGTGCGGGCGAGCTTCCACCAAGTTACTCAACATCATAAAAATAGATTAACTAAATGAACTAGGGTCATATCAAGTAGATTTACATGTGTGTGTGCCTGTGTAAGTTGGTGGTTGAGTAACATTCACTCGATTGATAATCTTCAATCTGATAGCATCAATTATACCAACATTTCACTCACATAAAGAACACGCTTGTCAAGCAAACCTGCATCAATAAATTTGGCAAAAATTAAAAAAGTGTCATAATGGAATTCGTGATGCACATGATTTGCAAGTGATAGTGTATTTATATCAATTAACCCGACTCAAATAAGGTTTAGAACATAGCCCCCCCCCCCCCCCCCCCCAAAAAAAAAAAAAAAGAAAGAAAGTTTCTAGAGAATTTCAACCAGAGCATGAAATTTTGAGAACAAAAATATGATGGGGATGCTAACTTATCATTCACTTTTATAATTTTGGTTTGATTGCCTAGTTTCTATTGTGAGGAAAGGCATCTTAAATATTTTAGAAAATTCATAGAAATTAAGCAAATACTGGTGTAGTTGGCATTTAAATTTGTGATGAATTGAAGAAACCAATTGAAAAATACACATATATACAGAGATAGATACAAAAACAAACAAAAATTCACAAATAAAAGGGGAGGGGAAGCAAAAAATCAAATGAATTCAGAAAAAGAAGCCACTGTAACAAAGAGGAAAAAGAAATCCCAGATGAAAACCACAACTAGTGATGCTACTACTACTACAATAGAAACCAAAACAACCATTGAAGCAAAAACTGGTTGTGTTGAAAATTGAATCTTGCCAGGAATGAACAAACTCTTTGACCAAAATGCACAGCAACAATAATAGCATAAGAAAACAAATCAAGCACAGATACAGAACTTATATGTGCGTCGAAATCATGGAAATTTAGTGCTGAAGATGGTGATGTTGAGATAACGTTGGGACCAAATTTGACATGGTGTGTGATCGATAATGATGAATAATTCTTCTAATCCGGGACAGATGTCTTAATCAACAGCCATGCATACACAAATATAGTAGCATAGCAAAACAAAATCCTGGTTGAAGTATGGTTCTTCGTAACCACAAGAATTTCTAAACTCATGTATTGTATACATACATGTATATATAAAGTGTGTTTCTTCATAACCACCACAAGAATTTCCGCATACATACATATATATATATATATATATATACACACACACATACATAACATATTCTAACAACTGAGCTCTCTAACCAAAACAAGAGGAGTTTCTCTCAAAATGCCACAAGTGGCAATCTGCATATGGCTAATAGTTTTGAAGGATAAGTGGTTGTTTACCACTCAAAATTCCACAACAATAGAATAAAATACCCACAAATAGCACTTCGACATATGGCTAATAGGTCTTGGATCAATAATTGATTATATATAACTCTTAAATTAACAACCATGTGGGCATGAGTGTCCTTAACATTATTCCAGATTATATATCCACAAACATTCAATCAGCAATATGTATTTCTTAATTAAGGTGCATAGGCAGCAACAATAGGACTTCTCACCATACGAGTCCCGTTAACATCATTCCAGCTTAAATACCCATAATTCACTAGGGAATCACTCTGTGGACTAGCATCTTCAACAGTCACCTCTATCGTTATATTGAACTCGGCTTTGCTATACTTTCCAGCAAAGGACACCACCGGGGGCTGCACAACCACTTCCATCCCTGACGGAGCCTTCACCACTGCACGATAAGTAGAGGGACTATCTACAACATTTGTTAATACCCGGTTAAAGGTGTAACTCATAGTGTTGGTGTCGTTGAGGATAACAATAAAAGATGGATAATTAAGGTCAAGACTGGCTTGATCACAGCTGAAATTCGACTTTTTGGTGATGATCTTAATCTGTTTGCTTGTGTAGTTCATTCCACACAAGTAATTGATATAATCCTGAACCTCTATATCATAAACAAGACCAGGATCCATGGCCTTTTCAGGGTTAATATGTCCTGCCCCATAATCAAGAGGAGTCCCAGCAACTCCAGTGATCATGTCAATGATGGGGCCATTGGCGTTATCAATCACATAAGCGGTAGTCATCATGGCTGATCGGATGGCAGCTGGGCTCCAGTCCTTGTGGAGCGTTTTTAGAAGCGCCGCTACACCAACTGCATGGGGAGAAGCCATAGAAGTGCCAGAGAGGAGTTTAAAATCGCTAAGCAAATAGTCGTCTCCTATAGGTGTAGCTCCTCTATTGGGTACCCATGCAGCTAAAATATCAACCCCAGGAGCTAAAATATCAGGCTTTAGTATCCATGGAGACTTGTGATCTGGCCCTCGTGATGAGAACCACGCCACGATAGGGGCAGGCTTGGTACCCAACACTGTTATCTTGAACTTGATGCTAACAGTTGCATTCTCCGTTTTAATTAGGTAGTCTTTGATCAAATCTCCATGTTTTGGGGTTACTGTCACATATGGCAAATTGAAATCACGTGGCTGAAGAAAGTTTTGGGAGGCAGTACTAAAGATTGCTCCAGCAGCTCCTGACCTTTCTATTTCAAACATATTGATTCCTGCATCTTCATTGATGAAGTCACAAAATACAAACTTCCCTGCAACATCTTTTGGGTCAAGAGCATAGTCTTCGCAGAGTTCTTTGCTTCTATTCCCTTGGCCAAAGTATATTGGATCACGAGACACTAACAAGTCTAATGGGTAGACAGATTTTCCACTAACAGTGAGGACCTCATCACCAAGCGTCACCTTAGCTGCATAATCGCGATCGATTGTCCCAGCACCAACAGTTGTGATCCAAGGAGCTCCATTGAGTATAGTGAAACCATCAGGACCACTGTTGCCAGCTGAACAAACAACAAAAATCCCTTTCTCCATGGCTGCAAAAGCTCCCACTGCAATAGGGTCTTCATCAAAAGGCTTCTCACTGTAACCCAATGATAATGACATGAGATCTACTCCATCAGCTATGGCTTGGTCCATGCCGGCTAACATGTCAGTGGCAGCAGACTTGAAGTTGCTGTTGAGGAATGCAACCTTGTACATGGCTAGCCGGGCTTTTGGTGCAACCCCAATTGCTGTTCCTTCAGCATAACCAAAGTAATTGGCACCTTCAACTGGGCTCCCAGCAGCGGTGGAAGGTGTGTGTCCCATGTCCATCGTAGTCCCTCGGAGAGTCATAGTCATCAGTTCTTGATATGTTTAAGCGTAATTGCTTTATCCCTTTACTGAAAGAGCGAGCTCCAATGAGTTTTCTGTTACAATAAGAAGAGTTGAATTCTACCCCCGACTCACATGCCCCGCGCCATCTCTCCGGCACTGGAGGCATGCATTCATCTCTGAAACTCTCACTCTCCGGCCAAATGCCAGTGTCAATTATACCGATAATCATGTCATCACCAAAGTTGGCTTGAGGCCACAAGCCAGCACTCTTTTTCAGGCCAAGAAACTCTGGAGTATGTGTGGTGTGAAGCTTTCCAGAGGTCTCAGGGTACGTGGCAATATGGCCAGGCATCTTCTCTAACTGATCTAGTTGAGACCGAGATAGCACTAAACTGAAGCCATCCAACACATGGTTGTAGGTGTAAAGATGGGTTGGGAAAACGCCATGATGAGACGATGACAGGGATGAAAGCATCGACGTGTACCAATTATCATGATCTGAGAAGGGAGTGGGCATAGCTGATTTGTCCATGTGGATGATATAGGTCTCACGATCATCCACTATTGAAGCTGACAAAGCAGTTGAAAGGAGAAGGAAGAGAAAGACGAGCTTGTATGGAAGATAGCATTCCATTGTTGCAGTGTAGTGACTGCAGTTCACAAGAAATTAGAACAATTACAAAGTGCTTATACAACTCAGTTTGTTTACATGTTAATGAGACACCTACCTAAAAAAACATTATTGCGGGGACATTAAATTAAACTACACTGTGTTTACACCATACATTAAATTTTTTGCCAGGCGGCAGAGGGAAAGGCGAAGGAGATGTTTGGTGCAGAATGGTTACAAGAGCAAGAAGTTGTCAATGTCTATTTTGAAGAAAAGTGGCGCAATCCTGAAGGATATCTATATCTAGTGAAGTAATTACTGCTGTCTGAAGACCGGCCTGCAATACTCATAGTTCTGGTCGCCTAATTTAGCGGCTGGATCTACTCAATTAAATGAAGAAATATACTCATAGTTCTGGTCGCCTAATTTAGCAGCTGGATCTACTCAATTAAATGAAGAAATATATTTGGAGTATAGAGTTAAATAGAGCTAGTCTTATCATTCTTGACATCAAAGGGTCCAGTTCTTCTCCAACAGTATGTACCCTCATGAATTGACTTTCGAAAAATAATAATAAGGTGTGATTTATGCAAAATTCATTCACCTCCATATGTATCTTTAACAGTTATGCTTAGAAACATCACATTTAAAAATGACCACACCAAGAAAATCACAATAGATCAAGGAAGAATGCATTTACCACCAACACAAGTGGAGAGATGATGTGATGAGGAATAAAATTAACCAAACAGCTCACGCGAACCAGGACTAACCATGAGCAACCATGTGTCAGGTGTGGAATCCTGAAAAAAGTCGAGATCAATTCAAAATTACCAGCCATGACCCTGAAGCTAACTGAGTTCTTCAGCTTCCATGCAAAAGTATATGTAAAAGCAAACTTATCACAGTTTCATTGAACATGCTACAAATACAGAGGCCAGTCAAAAGGAGAATATTACAAGAAAATGCCTGGTTTATATAATGAAATATAATAGTTGAAATGTAAGTTAATTTACAGATGGATCTTTATTTGCAGATGATAAGTTACAGTGACTCACTCACAATGAGACTTTCGAAATTAGCCTTCAAGCCTATGTCAGACACAAAGGAACATACGTGTTACTACATTTTTCCATTATCTCTTTCTAAAACTTGGTGGAAAAATGGAAAAACGGACAGGTCAGTGACAAGCATACCTCAGCTATAAGATCCTAATTAAGTTAAAAGACATTAAAAACTTTCAAAAGAGTCTTCTAGCCACCAACAGCAGCCAGGAACTTCCTCTTGCTAACTGCTTCCTCCTGCAAAACCGCAACATCTCTCACCTTGTCCAACAACTCCTCCAGTTCATTAACACCAAAACTCTGATAATCCAGTGGCTTCTTGTACCGTTGCTGATATATTGCTTCAAAACAACCCAAGAAAATTCGACAAGAATAGCTCACGAGTATCTCTTGAAGCTCGTACTTGAACTGCTGGAGACTTTGGTCATCGATTTCATATTGAGCAACCATCCCCAGATCAGACTTCTCTCGTTCCCTCCTCTCATCATGTTCTTCTACAACTACCCTTTCATCATCTGAAAACTCATCTGAAGAGCCACAGCCTGTGATAATATCAATATTCTCTTCCTGAGTCCCCTTCTGTTTCTTGTCCTTTTTTGCAAGAGCCAATGGAGGAGCACTTGGGCTGGCTCGCGAGTTCCGCAGGTAGACAAACTTTCTATGGCCTTTCCCCTCCACAGTCATTGCGTCTGCCATCTTCTTGAGAAGATTCACAAGTTTGAATGCCCCATATTCTGAAACATAAAGAGGCCTCCCAAAAAATTTCTGGTAATCGGAAGGAACACGATTAAGAGGAAGACATCCTCCAGATAGCTCAAGCAGCTTTACCAGCTGCCCCTTCAAACCATTTAGGTCCCCGGGCTGTACCCACATCAAGTCATTCTGGTCACAAGAAGAAACAGGTCCAGCCGAAACTTCATCCAAACCAGATGGAAGACTGTGTGATCTCATGCTTGTAGGAAAACAAGGTATGGAGATTGAAGTATTACTGTATCCAGATAAAGACTGTGATATCAGTGAGAAATCCCTCGGGTTGTAATAGCTTTGTGAGATCCCCCTATATACTATGGCTTCTTCTTCGTTCTGACCATCAGGGTTGTCACCTATGTGGCATCTCATCAAATACCCAGCAATGTCAGCTGGACCCGTACGAGAGGTTAGTAAAGCCTTGGTGGCAGGCACAAAGCCTTCCCCACGAGCCACACTAGGCCAGTCCCATACGAAGCTACCTGCATTACAAAGGGCCGATGAAACATCCACCCTAGAAGGAATAACGAGAATCACGGTATATCCACGCTGACCAAGTATGTGAAGTGCAGGAGCAAAATCAACATCCCCAGAGATCAGCATGATGGAAGAAGGTGGAGGGTTGTCAATAGCAAAAAGAAACATGTCAACCAAGATTGCTTTGTCAGCAGCATCCTTCCTCCCATTTGGGACATCTATGAGTTTCACACCAGTTCTTTGGCAACCCTCTCGTAGTCGCCTGGGGAAGGCATTAAAATCTCCATAGGCAGAAAACATTGTAACAGCTCCTCTAATTACAGGATGGACCCGTAAAGCCATTCTGATGTTCCCGGCCACATCTTCTGGGCGTACATCACTTGGGACAGGACAGTTCTCGATGTCCCAGAGAATAGCTAGAGGAGCATGTGAGGAGTTTTGGCTCTGCTGCCAAGGAGGTGGAGGTGTGTTAATGTTTGGATTTTCCATATGTGTCGCACTTTGTTCTGAGGATTCTGTAGACAATACCAAGGCTGATGTATTTGGATTAGCCATCCTTATCTCATTAAAGCTTAAGGTTCCTGCAAATGAGGAAGAAATAAAATTATAAGCAGCTATACAACAAAGAGCATTTCATAGTATTTCAACTTGTACACCCAATACAGATATAAACAAAAAGAAGGGGAGAGAAGGCACCAGGTTGAATGGGGTGGGGTTGAAAATGTCGCTAAACTAATAGTTTGACCAGTTTTACATTCCAAGTTAGGTAAAAAAGGAACTCCTAGGCCAAGATTTGACAACTATCAATTGTATTCAAGATTTAGCAAAGGTAGATGGTCAAGATTGCATTAGTAGCAGTTAGTAAATTAGATGCATAACATTGACAGTTATGACACAATAAATCACTGCTAATATCAAAATAAAATAAATGCATATTCTTGCTTCCTGCATTCACTCGATTGCCTCAATTCTCACAAGCATATAAACAGCCTAACAATGAAAAGGGGGTACCTGTATGTAACCTTATTCATCAAAATATCAGACTCAATAAACTACCTGAACGCTTCAAAATACTATGCTAGAAAAAAAGAAGGGGGTGGGAGAAAAAATCATCTTACAAGAACCAAAATCAATAAACGAAAAAAAATAAAAATAAAAAAATAAAAAATAATAATAATAATAATAATAATTTCAAGAAAGAAAGGACTGAATTGGACCAGCTGAAATGAAAATTGGAATGAGAAGTAATAGGCAATAACTCATCGCACTACTAAGCTAAAATATCCTCACATATATGGGCAAAACAATGAGCCTCTTAGTAAAGGAATTTCCAGACCTGTATCTTGCACAGTTCCACTATAACGACACTCTCTGCCAACATATATCCTAGAACATATTGGGACACTCCCAAATAGTAATAACTCTAGAGTCACCAACATCTTTAATTTCTAATATTTGTCGATCAGGTCTCAACTCTATAGGATATAGTAGGCAGATAAAGAACTTCATTCTACAGCTTGGTCGAATTCCACCACAAAAAGCTTATAGCCCAAAAATAGTTGGAAATGCCCTCAATCTGCCATTGTGAAATGGGCACAAAATATTTCACCAGGCAGTCACCTAACAACAAAGACAACAATCAATTGCAAAATCTCCAAACAAGAACAAAAAGGGCAATTCCTGCTATGCCAATATTGAATCTCAATCAGAAAACAGTTATTCCGTTATCTACTCGTGTCATCATCTATCAAGGCAAATGGTCTAAGCAACACAATATTGTGAATAAACACTAACAAATGCATGTCATGCTTCTATATTTCATTATTTTTTATTTTAAATTTAAGAACATAAATTCAGAAGATAATGTAAATACGAAAGACGACAACTTAAGCCTTTTTTTCCAATTACTTGGGGTGGCTACATGAACCCTATGTTTCCATTCCGCTTTATTTAAGGCCATAGCCTCAGTCAATCCACATGCTATCATATCTTTCCTTACTATCTCTACCCACGTTAACTTTGGTCTTCCTCTTCCCCTAGTGGGTCCCACTTCTAGATCAATCAACTAAGTTTTTGAATTAAAATAGTACTCTACAAGAAAATATGAATATTCAAAGGGAGCTCTTATATCTGATCCGTCTTTCTTACTGGGTAGGAATGGGACTAAAATGTATACCTTCATAATCTCTAAGAGGCTTCTCAAGCCCTAATGGCTGAAATAGGACTGTCTGAACAGGCACCTCTCCACTCCGTCAAAGAGGAAGAACTATCAGATTCCACATCAAGATTAAGATTGATTTGATGCTTGGGATGGACCGGACTTCGCCCACGCCTCTTCGGCAGCCTAATCATTCTAGTTTGGTGCCTACTGTTAACGATTGGCTAGTTTGGTTGACGTCGTTCGTCCACTCGGTACGCTTCTTTCCGAACACGCTATAATTGGGACAAAGTGGCGGGCTGGCCTGAGAAGCTAGCTTGACCAGCCCATTGATCCTAACCCTTGATTACCTCAATGTGAATTATGTCACTTTTCCTCACATCAGCACTTAAAGGTCTTCTTCGCACATGTTCAAACCATCTTAACTGATTTTCTCTCATTTTATCTGCAATTGATGCTACTCCAACCTAATTTGAACTATTAAGATAAAATTAGAGCCAAGAATGACATCATAGTAGGACATTTGGAAATAATGAAATCCCATGGCACATACAATGATAAGATTTTATATAATACCAATCTCTAACTCATCTTAGTTGGCATAAGTCAGTACATCAACCTATGACCAAGTATGAAACTGAGTTTAGGACAAGGATAACGTAACACCATAAAACAAGATTTTGGCTGACAATGGTTATGATAGTTGTGATGATCAGGCTGGTCACGAGCTTGGAGACAATGTTTAACTTCAATCAATTTACATATCACAGTTCGAGATCTTTTGAAAGCAAGTAAAAATCCTCCACCAACTAAACTTGTGGTTACAAGGACCAGCAATATGCATATTTATGTCCCGTAACCAAATTACTTATAGATATTGGTAGAAGCGAGTCTTGACAATAAAGTCAGAGCCAACAAAAACTACATGAAGGGACCACCTTCCCATGGCATTCAAAATTATGTTGGATCAGGTCTAATATGATAAATAATATATATGTCCTCTAGTCATCATTTTTTTATTTAACTTTTGGGTACACTTGGGCCTCAAGCCCGGTGTGCAATCTAGTAAATTAGATTCATGCACAACCATCAGCTCCAACAAATGATATCAGTGATTACAAATTTAGAACAGAAAAAACGAATATACTGTCTTAAGACAACAAGAACAGAGTACAGAAGTTAATGCATCTTGCAAAAACAAAACAAAAACGGAAAGGGGTTTCATGTAGATGTGGTTAATAATGTGAAGAAGTGAGTAAAGATAATGCTACATAACTGAAGCAGTAAGCTACTTCAATGGCAGAAACGCAATACCATAAAGGGTAAACTGAAATAACATTCCGAGAAAAAAAAAAAAATGTAAACGGGTTATCTATGAGTTGCCTAAGTCATATAAATTTCTCTACACATAGAGAGAAGTCGATCACCAACACCAGCATTACAAACTAAACATTCAGCTACGATTCTCATGTGTTTTGGCTAACAAGTCAATAAATTATAATAAATCATTACAAAAATATTCTAACAAAGGGTGAAACTATGCCATCAAAAACCAGAAACAAAACCACAATTAATTCAAAAATAAATAAAAAGAATTAAAAAAAAAAAATACCTCATAGAGCCAATTCTTCCTATACACAGCTCCAATAGAGATTACGCCCCGTCCCTAGAAGACAAATAAGTCAATTGAAATCAAAATATAGACAAAACTAAAACGATTCAAACGATCGCTCTGCTCTTTAATCGACAATTGCATAAACATATACAAACCATCAAAAAACCTAGATTCCTAAGAGGAAGGAACAAATAAGCGAATAAAGTCTCATGCTTCTTCAGGGAATCTCAATTCGAAACCCTTATACATATACATACATACATGCGTGTGAATATATAGAGAGAGAGAGAGAGGTAGAGAGAGACCTGCCCAAGGAAGATGATGGCTTTTCTGTGAGGTTTTGAGTCCTTTTGACAGCTGAGAGCTTTTAGCAAAGAAAGAGATTACTGAATATTAGTACTGTTGACGGTGTTAATGGGCCTCCTTGTCTTGGATATATATAATAAAATGGGCCCATAATTTCTTTTTCTGTTTTTTTTTTTATTATTTATTTTAGGTATGTGGACAAGTATATATCTATATATATATATATACACAGTATTATACAACGACCTAAACCGACATTAGAAATTATACTCTTTAATTATTATTTTCTTTTTTAACAAATAAAAAATCAACCAACTGTGTTAGTTATTTTGAACTTTCGGTGTGTAAACTTCCAATACTCATCGTTAATTAAAGTAAATAATAATCGGTATTGATTAATTGTGCTCAAATTTTTTTACTGATAAATTAGAGAGAAAGGAATTAAAGACACCCATGTCGCTGCTCAATCAACTAGACCCGTTTTAATTTACATCTCAATTTTTAACTTTTTAAGAGAAGGGGTTTGCAAATTGTCTCTCATTGTGAAAAGGTCGTGTTACTTGTTACCTGGTATTGTCCTTAATGCAAATTTTGTATAAATTCCGAGATTTTGTTATCAAATTAGAAGTATAGGGGAATTAATTGTCAAAACTTGGTAGTTTTTTCTTTTCTTTTCTTTTTTACATTTTGCCATTTTTTTATTTTTTTTGGGCCTCTCAGAATATCTTATAAACCATGAAATCCCTCCGTCCAACATGTATTGGAAATTTTTTCTGAGCCAAGAGACCCTTTTTCTAATTGATTTCAATACATAATAATTTTTTTATTTCTTGGCAAACTAAAGGGAAGGGGGACTCGAACACCCACTTGGAAATTGGGCGATGTACCAATTACATACTCCATGCATTTTTACCTTAATTACGTAGATATATGTTTGTGAAAACATGCACAAGCATAAAATTAGTATTTGAGAAGTTCAGAACCTTTTGAATTTATGAGCGACATATCGTAATTCCCCTTCATTTCATAATAAAAATTCGGGAAAAATTATCCCCAAAAAAAAAATATTTTTGAAGCACAAAAATGACTATATTACCCGTACCAATAATAAATAAATAAAACCCATAATTCACTATTTCACCACCCACTCCAACACACTCATTTCCACCCACCACCGCCCATTCTAAAAGTAAGACCTTGAAAATTTGGAATCAAGTAGTGACTTTATATGATTTTAATTTCAGACTTCTAAAATGTCCGGGTGAGTACTGTGGAATCAATGGGCAAACACCAAAGGAAAATACTTTTTGCACCGAAGTTGTTTTACCAAACTGAATAGCCGAAGCATCAACTTCCATTTGATGCAAATTTGACCAAAGAAAAACGTTAAATAAATTCAAAGACACAAAAATACCCAGATTTAATGATATATGTGTTATACAGGTAATTGCACATATTCGATATTTACCCTGCAGCCATAAGTTCAAAGGCCGGTTATTGAAAGAGTTTCGTTTAAAAAATAAAAAAACAGCCAAATTGAAAAACAAGAACCTCTGATATCCCTAAAAGATACATAAATGTCATTTCGTTTCCCAAATGAATGAATCAAATAGTTGGACATTAATGTGCTAAAGAACAAGAATTCAGTTCAGATTTCCAAAAAAAGGCAGAACAATTCAAATTCTGTACAGAACATAGAATCAAAGTTCCAAAAATACTGGAACAGCCTAACAACTAGTAGTAACAAGAGATCATGATTGTACGTAAACACCTACTTACAAAGCACTACAACGAACGACTGAAAATCAAGGGATGTTAATCGCATATTTCGTAGAGAATTTTGATCAACTATCCTGAAAGTTTTACTTGTAATATAGAGACAATTATGAAGTCAGGACCTTTTCGATAGCAGACACATAGAACTCCTTGGGCATGGTACCAACCACAGAATCGCGTTTCTCTCCATTCTTAAACAGCAAAACAACCGGCACAGCCTTAATATCATAGTTCTCAGCAATTTCTGACTCACTGTCTGCGTGAAGCATAAAGCATTTTACTCTGCCAGCATACTCTGCTGCAATCTCGTCAATCACCCGGTGAACCATCCTGCAGGGTCCGCACCAACTAGCATAGAATTCAACGAGGACAGGGACTTCACTGTTTAAAATCAATTTGTCCCATGAATTTCCCGTGACCACTGTAGCTGCACATTCCAAATATAATGCAATTAATAGAGCCACTCAATGTTTCACCATATATTTCACTGGTATCTAAGCAGCATACAGGGTGATTGATATTCACCACTTTACACGAAAAAATGATAACAAAAAAAAAAAAAAAGTAACTATACCAATCGAAAAATAGGATTAGCTTCCGCTTCTACCTCCATATTTCTTTTACTGTTACAATTTGACAACATTGTTGCAAAAGACAATAATATATATTTCCCACAGTGTCGGTCAAATCTTTCACATGGTTGTAGATGTTCTTGAAAAACTTCACAACTTGCAGAATAACCATTTCTCTCCTTTGCATGTGTATAGTGCAAGTGTTTGTGTGTAACATTACCCTTGCAGGTTGCAAATATTTGATAGTCAAAATATCACAAAAACCCCGATCTTTACAAAGAGTGAGAATATGGATTAAGGGGGAGAAAGGCTATGCCTCACCTTTCACAATGCCCAGTTGCCCACTCTTCCTTTATATTCTTTTTTTATCCATAATTAATTCTAGACAAGTCAGGAGTATCTTTGGCCTAGTGGCAACTAGCAACATAGAGCCAAAATGAAGCAGAAAGCAAGATTGAAATTCATTGTATATTAAAAACAAAATGATAAGGAAAAAAGAAAAAGACGACCCAACAAAGACACTTGGGCAAACACTAGTAAGCTAAGAAGGCAGAGTGTGCATTTTATCAATTAATTTGCCTGCACTTTATTAAACAATGAACCAGCAGAATGGCTCACCTTTTAATACAAGGATCTATTAACATTACATAAACACCCAAACAAAATTATAATAGAAAATACAGAAAGAGTTACTAATCTAGCAAAAACCAGACATGGTGACATCTACTGCATCCAAGAACCATATTTTTAAGCAAAGACACTCAAGTTGAAGTTATAATTGTACAGTTCAAAAACAAGAAGGATAAGAATGGGCAACACAACAAAAACCGGAACACATTAATTTCAGCAATTACACTATTTTTATGAAAAAATACAAACAAATAAATAAAACTAAATTATTTAAGCTATCCACATAGGCAGGGGAGGATACAGACAGAACCTAGGGCCAGAAAGACAGAATTTTAATCTCGTACATCATGCACGAACTGCATCCTAGTTCACAATCAGGGGCTTGCCTACACATAGCTAGGGGACCAAAGTGTTGAAATTAACCTTTAATACCAATATATTTTCATAATATTTTCAAATAGATTGATAATATTCTGTTAGGTTTTCATCCATTTCATAGTGATTGGTAAGTTTAATTTGCCTTCTCCATCATCTTTAGAATTTAACCTTCAGGCTGCATTGTGGTCTTAGAGCTTTGGTTTAGAATAATTTGAAATCACAAGAAAATTGGTTTATTTTATTCGCATGCCAGTTTTGATAAAAACTCCTGAGAGAGTCTAATTATCAGTTTGTTGACTTTTGTTTTTTTTTGGTTAAGTAAATATCTAGTAAAACAGCAGTCAAAAGGGGAGCCCATCCCAAAACAACTGAACAAAAACACTATACCTTTGAACTATCGACAAACTCAACTAAATCCCCCATAGATTTACATTTTTCCCCATGGACCCAAAAAAAATAAAGAAATTAAAATATAGAATTTGAATGCCCAAATAGGAGCCTCCACTCTATCGAAGCACCTCCTATTCCTTTCCAGCAAAAGACCCCACCAAAGGCAAAGAGGAGCAGCCCTCCACGCCTCTTTAGCATGAGACCCTACTGAGAAGCCTCACCATGCTTCAATAGAGCTCTTTGTAGATCCTGGCATAACCCAATGAACACCAAAAATGGATAGGAGCATGCTCCATCCGTCCCTAGCCACTGGACAATGTAAGAGGATATGACTAACCCACTCCTCATCCCTCTTGCACATGCAGCACCAATTGGCTGTCCTACGTTACAAAATTCATTTCTTTTATGGTTCAGCATTAGAAACTCAATTTGTGCTTGCCATCCAGCACTTAGCAAATCCAGTAGCTCTGCATTGCATAGTTATTCTTTCTTTTTTCCCTGAATATAATTATTCATTTTTGGTTGCTACCACAATCCACATCATTCTCAGGTGTCATAATTGCTATTTTCAGGGGTATATAAGTAGTTTTCTTCATTGTCCAAGCAGTTTTCCGGTACTGAGTTTTGTTTTTTTTTCAAGTATCAGGAGTGGTCTAGAGTGTCGTAGCTAACTCTTTGAGTGTTGACCCTGTTGGGTCACTTGTTAGTTGAGTTAGTCTTTCCATGGCTAACAACTGTAATCAGAAAACAAAATCCCCTCAGATAGTCCTAACAAGATGCACTTCAGTGCCAACAAGAATCAATGAACAAATTCGAACCCAAACCAAGTGTCTTACTCGCATGGTGCGTGGGTTACAACTTACAAGTGAATGCACCTCCATAAAGCAAAATTTGAGGTGATAGGAGACCTAGAGAGGTGGCTCAAGAGAGTGATGAAAAGAGTGACTTTGAAGAAGAAGTTGCTCCAAAAATAGAGGATGTACGAGTTGGAGAGTAGATGATAGGCCTCCTAGAGCTATTGATAAAAGGAGGACCAAGTCATTAATTTGAGGGTAGTCTACAGCCTGAGGAGTTCTTAGATTGGTTTCATAGGATAGATTGGCTTTTAGTAGGAAGACATGCCTAATAATAAGAAGGTTGCTTAGGAAAATAATAATAATACTAATAAGGCCAAATTTGTTTGATTGAAACTAGAAGGACATATTATTTGGTGGAAGCAAGTCCAAAAAAATAGGATCACATGAAAATAAAATATTAGGCCACTGGATCACATAAAAGAGAAACTTCAGGGAATGTTCCTCCCTTCTGAAAATCATAAGAAGCTTTTCAAAAAGTTTCACAACTTGCAACCAAAAACACAAAAAGAAAAAACATGTGGATGAATACACAGCAGAGATCTATACCAAGCTCGAAATGATTTAAGGAAGATAAAGAGCAAATATCACACCTTCCTATTAATTATGAAATTGTTCTCCATGTTTACCTTATCAAACAAGAAAATTGTTCTCCATGATTAGTACAGCTGGATGATATGTATCACCATGAACTTAAGGTAGTCTGGGTTGATAGGCAACATACACAATCGACAATCTGTAGAATAAATATTGCTCAGGCTAAGATCTCTTGAGATCCCAAATTTTTCTGTCCAAGGGATCTCAGGATTCTCAATTTGAAACAAAATACTATACTTGCGTCACGTTATCATTCAAAAGATGTTAGTTTTGGTCAGATTTTTTTTATAAAGTTCCCTTAATGTCTACGAGTTTGAAACTTAATAGAAAATATTGCAGAATTTGAGATCATTGAGAGTTTCCACTTCCAAAGGGCAAGAAGCAAATTAAGCATCTCATCTTGGCTTGGATCAGTAGGAGCCCAACCTATTCTATTAGACTAGACACATATACACAACCGAGTCAAGGAAGTGGCTAAGTAATTCCCATTGTTTCCATGAATAATATCTCAGAATCAAATTTCCATACAGGGCTAATTCCAAGAAAACTATTCCTCGTACGCACATGAATTTAATAGTATGTTTTCATCAAGGATTTTAATCTCATATCGATTTTATATAATTTGATTGCTAAAGAAAGGTTATCAACATATAATCATAGGATTTCACAAATTTCAAATATGGATTCGAGTTTTATTAACTTTATTCAAACAACTGAAAAAGTGAGAAGGCCAGATTCCAAAATAACTCCATCCTGTTAAACAAACTGAAAACAAGGAAATTCCTTCTCCATAGTACAATATTTTACCTAATAATAGATTATTTCAGTAAAAGGTTCTACCTTTGAATTGCGAGGAACCTTCAGAAACTCAGGAAGAAAAGGAAAAAGAAACATTAAAAAAACAAAAAGGAGACCTAATCACAACAAATAAAATTCTGAACCTTAAAGTTAACTAGAGATGCATTTACATCATATTTATAAATTAATTTGAGTTAATTCAGTGTGCATGAATAGAAATAAATATTGCGAAGAACCTCAAAATTAAAGTCTTAAAAGAAATGATAATTTTTTTAGATTTTTAAAATGTTGTTTCAGAAATTCAAGATTGATGTGTGACACATAGGGATTTGTGCTTGTGAGGCAATATTCTGAACTTCAAAAAACCAGCAATAAGAAAAAGACTAATTGTTTCAGACAGACACTAATCAATCCAATCTATCATTTGGCCACACCATGAATTTTACAGTCACTCTTTCCTTTATATACATTCAAACTTGGGGTTTTTCTATCTTTTCTACATTTCACTCCCTTTCCTTGTATGATTCTAAACTTGACTTCTTCTATCTTGCTTATATTTATTTTCTTTTTCAGTTCCATAGTAGAAATAAATTAACAATATAATGAAGACAAAAGTATCAAAAAGAATATAGAAAATAGTAATGGTAATGAAAAAAAACATGGTTGCGGGTAACTGAAAAGTGAAAATTATATAATCAATATTCTGATGCAAACAAGAGTTTTGACTAAAACATGATTCCCTAAGAAAATTCTCTAGATTTATGGCAAGCTGGAAACATCTCTACATTCTACATCAAATCCTGACATGCCATGGCAACTTACTCAAATAAAAGATGCCGCTACAGTGATAAAGTTTCTGGTTCAACTAGCAGCCGTTGGCAGAAAAAATGGAACCCACTAGTTTAACTAGAACCCCCCGTTGGCAATAGATAGGGAAATAGTCTTATACAGATTCCTAAATTCAGCCAAACACTAGAAATGCAGATATCTAAAAAGGGCTAAGCCCAATGCATGAGGCTCTTGCCATTGCAGGGCCTGGGGAGAGTTAGATGTACACAACCTTACCTCTGCATGGAGAAGCTGTTTCCGGTTTCGAACCCACAACCTCCAGGTCACAATGGGGCAATCTTACCATTGCGCCAAGGCCCACCCTCATAAATGCAAATATCTATTGTGTCAAATAATCAAGACAGAAGCAGAAAAAGTAAAAGCATCATTCATTTCTTGTCAAGCTAAAAATATCTGGGCAATTATAATCTTAGTAGTATCAAGATCCATTTAAGGAAAAAAAAAAGTATCAAGATCCATTTAAGGAAAAAAGAAAAAAGTATCAAGATCCCAAAACAAGCAACCCTACACTTGAAACTTAGGGGGGCTCCGTTATCCAATTGCAAGCCTTGCACTTCAATTCGATGGAACTTGAACTGAACGTGAAGTTAAGATATTAAAAATCCATTACAAATTACAAATTGTGAAAGTAAAACTCTAAACTCAGGATTCTATTTTTTTTTTTTTTTTTTTTTTCATTGGCAAGAAGGACACTCACACACCCACTTTGCCCATGTTGGGGACTAAGTTTCGTATTCTATTCTTATTAAAACAGAATTGCCGGAAAAAGCACTCAGCAGAAGACTACGAACTCTGCCTCTCCTCCCTCGGAGGGCCTTAATTAAAGGTTTTTAGATGCAATCAGGTAGAATGATATACTAAACCCTAAATACCTATGATGAACTAAAGAACTCGCCAGAACTGAATTAACAATAATAATAATAATAATAATAAAACAGGGAATACAAACAAGAAAAATGCAAAAAATCACCAGAACATGGTGAAATAGGGATCTTTCAAGAACCAATTAAAAGAATCCATAATCTTATTCAATCCACGCATATATAAATATTAAAAACAGGGAATACAATCAACAAGAATGCAACAAATCACCAGAACATAGTAAAATAGGTAACTTGCTAGAACCAATTAAAAGAATTTATAATCTTATTATATACAACAAAATACACACACCACACATATATATATGCATACATATTGTATATATGTGTGTATATATAGAGAGATATTACCTTTGGGGTCACGCAGGCAGAAGACCGTTGGAGAAGGAGGCAAGTTCCGAACCCTAATGCGCTTTTTGGGCTGAAATGTGAGTCCGAAATGGTTAAGCCATTGCGGGGGAGAGGGTATCGAAGAGATTTTAGGGTTTTGAAGGGCAAATGGTGGCGATGAATAGAGAGGGGAAGAGTAAGAAGCACAAGAAGCCATCATTGGTTGAGCAAATGCAAAGAGAGCGATTTCCTAATTGAAAGGCAATGTTTGCGTACTATCAATATCTATCTATCCACATCTATAGTATATATAGGGAGAGACTAGAGAGATAGATAGATAGACATATATATATATATGAAATATATACGGTGAGAGAGAGAAAGAGGAAGACAGATGCTACACGGGTTTGTAATTTGGTAAACCAGAGAATAGAGAAGCACGTTTTTTTAATAGGAATACTACTGTATAGATATATGGATGATACGAATAAACGCTGCGCTGCGGTGGTTGTGGCATGTAATAGGACGAAAGAGGGAACATCAGTTGAGCCAGTCTCAAGCTGCCAGTGGGGTCCAGCCACCTTATTCTTTCTTGATGGGATCCATACAGCAACAAACTTATCCTGAATTTTTTAAAAAAAAACCAAAAAAACATCAATAGAAAAAATAAATAAATAAATATATAAATAATAAAAATAATCACACACCCAAAAAATAACAGTAGAGTTATGTAATCTAATTATGCTTGTATACTATTCCATGACCTAATTTGTAGAGGTTTAATTTTCTGAGAGTGTGAGTGTGTTCAAATTCCTCTATCCCCTAATTTGTTAAAAAAATTAAAAAAAAATCTAATTACAACTTAAACTGCAAAAACACAAAATTAAAAAAAAAAAAAATTAAATTAAAAAAAACACGTGCGGTTATATGTGGCATGGTTGAAATTCTCGGAGGTTATATGTGGCATGGTTGAGATTCTTGGATTGGAAAATTGTTGCTCCAATTACACCGATTCATAATATATTAAGCACAAATTACTATTTGTTCTAGCCCAGCCCATCTTGTTGGGCTATGGTCTGTGTGGACTTATTGGGCCATTAAACTAGTCTAGAACCTAAACCAATTTGAATTATCCAATCCAAAAGTTTCGATTTAACTCAATCGATGGAGAATCCTGATGACGGTTTGGGTTGACTCGATTTAATTTATCAGTTCAACTTGATTTAAAGATGGTATATAATATGTAGCTAAATATAACCGAAGGGCAATTTGGGCATTAAAATTTAAATTTTTGCTGATGTCGGTAAAAAGTGTCTCTGACCAGCTTTGATAGTTGAGAGAGAGAGAGAGAGAGAGTGATATGTGTCAAAAAAAAAAAAAAAAAATGGGTGGTCTAACTTAATTTTTGCAAATATAGAAAGGTCTCTTTGAAAATTGGACAAATCATAAAAGGGTGTAACTGAATTAAACCCTATTTATAAATATGGATTTGTATAGAACATAAACAAATTATATGGGTTGGATGTGAATTTTCTTATTTAATCATATTTCAATTAGAATATAAGATTATATAATATTGAAGATGTATGAATTTTCTCTCTCTAAATTGACAGAATTTCATTACACTTCAAAAGTTTTCTCCCCCTATTCCTCCTTTCTCCTTTCATTTATAGACCATTTGCATTATTCCAGAGCTTTCTTAACTAACTTCCGCCGTTGGGCCTATCCTCAAGGTTCAGTGGTTATGGGCCTGAATCCTCTTTGTTGAAGGCGTTTTTTAATCAGTCCAATACACCCGGTCTGCTTTGTGGACGTCAAGATTGGGCCCTTGTCAATTATCATGCCCATACTTTGTTATGTGAGTTGGATCTGGCCCAAGCCGTCTTTGGCATCCTCAATTGCCCCCATAATCACTCCCTCATTAATTAGGGTGTGATTATTTAAAGACTCAATGATGACCTGACGGCTTATGATGATTTGACGTCTCAAGGCGATTGCATGGGGCACCGAGCGATCGGCCTCGGAATTAATGTCCTTTTTGAAATTCGAATCCCTTCAGCTTCCTGACGTCTCGGCAAATGGGACCACTTTCCCTTTAAATACCCTTCTTCCACGACCAAAGCTTTTCTTGTCACATCTTTCACATCTTGCTGTCAATTAATTCATTCTACTTTCCCAAGGCGAACTGCATCTTTTCCGGTCAGATCTCATCTTCTCCGGTGAATTTTGTGAAAGATTCTTCATCCTCAATGTCCTTGCAATATTCTCTGAGGTTAGTCTTTGTTGCCCCTCTCCTCCTAAAATCTCTGCATTCTTTGCCAAGGCTCATAATCTCTTTCACCATGCCTATCGATCTAGATGTTCTTCGCATGAAACTCCACCTTCCCAGTAATATTCATGTTAGGGAATGCCCCGCAAATGTAAATATCAGAACTGGTAAAGGCCTTCTTCCCGGTGAAACCTTATTTTGCCTCCATCATTTAAACATTATTAGATTCCCTCTGCATCCTTTCTTTTCTTATGTATTCAATAGGTTAAAGATTTCTCCTCTTCAAGTTAACCCTAACTTTTTTAGGGTTCTATCCGTTCTGTTGCTTTTGAATCATGATAGAGGTTTGGATCTTGATTTAATTGATCTTCTCCTTTGTTACAAAGTTAGCAAGATCAGGTTGGACGAGGCTTACTACCATTTCTATCCATTCGAGAAGATGTCCATCTGTAAGGACAAACTTAAATCTGAAAAAGGGTGGAAAAGAGGCATTGTTGGGGTTTGGGGAGCTTGGTTTGCTCCAGTAGCCAATGACTATCCTATCCCGAACGCCTTTGGCGAATGTTCAGTCTCTTCTTATAAGAAGTTCAAGACTCATAAGGCTGACTGCCCTTGTGAAATTTGCATTCCCCGTTTTTATTCTTTTTCTTTGCAATTCTCTTGGTATCACTTTGGATAATGAACTCAGTTACAGCATTTGCAAGGATAGGATCACATACCTGAAGGAACACGTGCCGAGTAACGTCCCCTCTTGTTCGGAGCTTCTCACTTCTAAAAACCTTAGTGACATTTCAGTCCTCGGTTCCACAATGAGTCAACTCCAGATCCCTTCCTTCAGTAGGAAGAAGGCTCCTCCAAGGGCTGTGACGACTCCTGCAGCTTCTTCCTCTCCAGCCTCAGCATCGTCCCTTACTACTACCTCCAGCACTACTCTAAATGCAATGAATACTAACCCAATCATCAATGTTCCTTCTGTCAATCTGAGCATCGCTCCTCGGACTCGGGGCCCCTCTGCGCCCGTTGCACCCGCTCAAAATAAAGAACGAGGGAAAAGGCCCCAACCTAACAGTGAGGGCAATCTTGATGACCATCCCCTGACGAGGAGGGTTTGGACTTCAGGGCCGAACGTACCCATTCCCCCCCAGATTAGACCGGTCGCTCCTTCTAGATCTGGCACGGCCACTGTTTCTGCCTCTTGTGAGGCTCCATGGACTCATCGATTCGTCCGAACGGATGGATCGGTTGTTAAACCGAACGACACCATGTTCAAAGATGGCCTAACCACCATAGCTTACTACAAGAACATGTGGTCCCTCAAAGATGTTGAGGTTGCCAAAGCTCTTTCCCAGAAAGAAGTGTTCAGCTGTTTTCCTTTGGCTGCTATGAAGGTAATTTCCTACCCAGGTCTTAGTCACCTCAGAAGTATCTTCATTTTACAATTTCTCTGAATATACGTTCGGCTTAATTAGTATTCATATATTGTTTTGCAAACTCTGTTTGGCATGATGGCCATGCAAAAACATGTTGAGGTTGCCAACGTTAAGGCACGAAAGTTTGCCAAAGACGTTGAAGTAGGTCACAAGGAGAACCAGATCATTAGCACCAAAAATGCTGAACTCATGGTGCAACTAAATAAGGTTGAAAATGAGAGGGATGGTCTGAAGAAGGAAGCAGACTCCCTTCAGGATGAAAAGAACGCCCTTCAGCTTGAGAAAAATGTCTGGCAGGCCGAATGTGCGTCGCTCAAGACTGAAAGGGACAACTTTCAGCGCTTGCTTTATGACCTTTGAGAAGAGGGCTCTAGATGAGCGCAATGCCTTACTTGGCGTTATTGGCAAGGTTAACAGCGGGGTGGCAGCTCTGCATGGTCGCTTCTCCAGAATCGGTGCCTTGAGGTATGCTGAAGGGTTTAGAGAGGGTTATAATGACCGTCTTCCTACTGAGGGTCAGACCGGTTCCACTCCAGATGACATTAACAATGAACTCAACATCGATCCACCAGGAATCTATACTGACCAAGACTCTTCTCCTGCCGAGCATATCTTTGATGAATGCCAGGAGATTGCATCTTCTGGGGTCATTCCTGCCCCTCCTTCTCCACCTTTGAACGCTCCTCCTCTATCAGTCATGGTTCCATCTGCAATTACTACCGAGGATGGAACCTTGCAGAATCCTCTGTCTATCATGGTTCCATCCGCAACCACTGCCGAGGGTGGAACCCTGCAGAATGAAACAGTGATTCAGTTGGACTCCCCCCCCCCCCCTCCCTCACAATGATGCTGCAGCCACTGATGGGGAAATGAACGCCAGCAACCCCGAGGGGATTGCTGAAGCTGAGCGGTTTGATGAGGCTGAGCGGGTCAATGAGGAGATGAGCGTAGCTTGATTGCACTTATATTTTCTTTATATCATCTTCTTTGTAACTCTCACAGCTCCTTATATAAATGAAAATGATGATTTCGATTACTTATGATTTGAAACTTTTCATCGTTTGTCAATAACTGTTTATATGAATGAATTGCCACTTTCTTTTGCATCCTTTGTCTATTACTAATTGGCAAGTGTTTGGCGTTCGGCTCGTAGTGCCAGTTGCCACTTTCCTTGCATAAGTGCTTGGTGCTCGGCTTGAACACCACTTGCCACTTAGCTTTTTACTTTTTGGCAAATGTTTGGCGTTCGGCTCGTAGTGCCAGCTGCCACTTTCCTTACATAAGTGCCTAGCGCTCGGCTTGAACGCCACTTGCCACTTGGCTTTTTACTTTTTGGCAAGTGTTTGGTGTTCGGCTCGTAATGCCAGCTGCCACTTTCCTTACATAAGTGCCTAGCGCTCGGCTTGAACGCCACTTGCCACTTGGCTTTTTACTTTTTTGGCAAGTGTTTGGCGTTCGGCTCGTAATGCCAGCTACCACTTTCCTTGCATAAGTGCCTGGCGTTCAGCTTGAACGCCACTTGCCACTTGGCTTTTTATTTTTTGGCAAGTGTTTGGCGTTCGGCTCGTAATGCCAGCTGCCACTTTTCTTGCATAAGTGTCTGGCGCTCGGCTTGAACGCCACTTGCCACTTGGCTTTTTGCTTTTTTGGCAAGTGTTTGGCGTTCGGCTTGTAATGCCAGCTACCACTTTATTTGCATAAGTGCCTTACGCTCGGCTTGAACGCCATTTGCCACTTGGCTTTTTGCTTTTTTGG